TTATGGTCAACGAATTTGGGAATGAGAGTCAAGCATGGATGATCGTAGATGTTAATATACATACAATTGTGCATGGCACACATGATCATAAACAATGACGTTAACAAGCCGTGACAAGTTTCAATATTGTCGAACTATCCAAACAATCGCGAATGATGCCGAAGTAGATGAAACTGCATACGGCACATAAGTTTGATTTCGAACTTAAACTAGATTCAAGTAAATTGAAATTGGCATCTACGCGACATGTGCCAAATCGATAAACAAAATATGTATATATGTAATGTGGATTCATTGACACTTTCCAATATGCATGTTGCGATCATGCATAGTAATAAGTTGGGCAAACATGGTGGACGATACGGCATGTTGCAATTGTGCATATAAATATGTATACGAAGTTAGTCGTGACGGTAAGCGAGGCATACGATACATCGTAGTACTCCACTTTGTCACGTAGATGTTCTTTTTTACAAGATAGCAACTTGAAATCCTTTCGAAGTCAACCATGCAACCAATCCCAATTCGAAACTATAGTCATTTATAGCGCTGAAATTTCCATAGGGTTTCAGTCGGAATAGGACTGAATTGCCGGGAGGTAAGTTCCGGCAACGGCAATTCGGTCGCTTGGAGAAGACGGAATTGCCGTCCAATCCTCCCCTAATGTGCTATTTCGGTCGTGACGCCGCGACCGATCTTTGTCCGGTCGGTAGATTTGACGGGACATTCGGTCCCAAGGGGGCGGATTTGCCCATCCAGGGACTCCCCGGACTCGGTAATTTGCGACCGTATACTGTACTATACAGGAGATTCGGTCTTGATGCAACCGATCCTTGTGCACCTTTCAGACAACCGGTCGTGCACGGCTCCAGGAGTTCTCCAGGCACCGGGCACGCACAGGTCAGACAATTCGGTCGGTGTAGATGGACCTTTTTGCATGGCCGGCAGACTCCCGGGGGCTCCGGAGTCCGAGCTCGGAGCTGTACGGCAAGTTACGACTCGTACTATAGGTAGTCCAGATACGGTAGCAGTAGGTACCAGGCAGTAGGTACCTTTCGAGTACCTATGAAGTCACTTGGTACGTACCTAGGTACCCGACTAGAATGCGGTAATGGTACTTTAGCCAGATATAACCATTATAACCATTGACGCGGCTCGGGGCAATATTTATCAGATACTCCCGACCGACCGACCCACCCCCGAAGGGGGTGGACAGGAAACCGGAAATTAAATTCGGACGGCCTTATCCAGTTTACTTGAAAACTGAGTCTGTCGCCAATCAACCCGACGCAGGCGCAGGCTCAGTCACGCGACCATGACGGCACCGTCTTCTCAAATCAAAACCCTGACCCCCGCAGTCGGTCAAGCGCGCCCGCCGCGCGCCGGAGAAGGAACTTATGATCGCGCGGACGTACCGCCCCGGCCGGATCGCGCGGGCCTGCTCATTTGCTGCAGCCACTTGTAGCGGTAAGGTGGAGCAGATCTTCTTCAAGATCTTCTATAAGTGAAGCTGCGCATGCATATCCACACAGGGCGCTTTGCGCAACCTTGCTTCCGTTAGACAGTTAGAGGACCTTCTTGTGATCAATTTGCATACATATGTGACGGTCTACAAAAGCTCAACTCCAATCAGCTCAGCAACTTTCAGTGGCTAAGGGGTGACCGGGTCTTTTGAAGCTACAGAATTATATAAAGTACTAGAGTATCCAATTTTGCGTGGTCGCATCAAACTCATCAGTGGGCAATGCTTTGAAGCAGTGCACTCGTTATATTACTCTGCGAAGAACTTGGTGGCGAGCGCGGGAAAGG